TTTCCTCCAGTTCAGAGCTTAATCACAGGGCTCCCTATATGCAGTCTGCAAAAGCATGAAAACCTAATTCAACTATTACAGAAATAACTCCAGACTTTTAAAAGGTTTTCTGAACTAAAACAACCCCTGAGAATTCCCTAATACAGCTACCACCTAGCATATGTTTATATGCACTGTATATTTGTGTTTAATAGGTAGATTTAATTTGTAAGCATGCTTATAAGTTACTTTGCAGTTACTCTCTATTCATTTATCTTTAGCCGAAATTTCTTTAAAGTTCTCTCTATAAAGTCCTTTTTTACTTCAAAGCTTGGAAAAAAGAGGTGGAGTATTATAAGAATCACTCAATAAATAGTAGGCATATTAAAACTTCTGCGATGCAGTTGAGTAGGTACTCATATAAAATTTAAAGAAATCTTCTATTGTGGCTAATTAGATGTCTGAACATAGATTCAGATTTCAGATATCCACAGAGCTGGTGCCTGTCAGACAGGTCAGCAAGCACATCTTTCCTTGGCAAGAAAGTAAGATTTTCTTTATTAACTTACTTTCAGGTAAAATTAACAGAAAATTAACACTATTCTGCTCTTAACTCTACACATAAACCCATTAAAATGCATGCAAAGAATGTGTTAACTTCACCCCAGTGTGAAAAATATTATCAAATAAAGCTGAACTAAAGTGGTAGCTTTCTAATCAAAGATAAATATATGAACTTGCAACCCAAGAGGCAATACAATTGGCTCTTATCCTTCCCAGCTTTTATAACTCCCTCAAAGAACAACCTACCTCAAGAACTTGTAGTTTGGATACCAGGTTCTACACTGGATTGCCATTAAAGGCGTTTATGGTGTAAAATTCAAGTGGAAGTAAAGATAATTTAGGATTAAAGTTAATAAAAATTTAAAATAGATCCCTAGTACAGAAGTGTACTGTTAATATCCTAAATTATATTTCAGGAGTTATATGTATGTGTTAGTCGCTCAGTCATGTCTGACTCTGTGACCCCACAGACTGTAATTTACCAGGCTTCTCTGTCCATGGGATTCTCCAGGCAAAAGTACTGGAGTGTATTGCCATTCCCTTCTCCAGAGGATCTTCCCCAGCCAGGGATTGAACCCTGGTCTCCTGCATTGCAGGCAGATTCTTTACCATTTGAGCTATAGAGAAGTCCTTATTTCAGGAGTAGGTGGATAAATTAATCCTCAAGTTTTAGAAAACTGGTAAAACAATCATCAATATTAAGGTAAAATGAATACTATATTTTAGATGACAAGGTAAACATTCCCAACCTTCAGTGAGTTCACAGTGTTCCTATACATGAATGATAATGAGAAAGAAAGCAATCTGCACAGCCACTCAATCACAGACATTTCACCATCTAGTCACATTTCATTCCTCAGTGAAAAAAAAGTGTTTGTTTTTATATGTTTGCACTTATGGGTGCTTTTATTTAACCCCTCAAAATAAGGAATCAGAAGAGCTGGGAATGAGCTGGAATCAGGAAGATGGACTAAAGCAGGGCACTGTCTAATTGAGAAGCTTTCCCCTCGTCTCTTGAAGACTCTCAAACTCAAGGCCATCTCAGATCTGTCTAATCATGAGCCCATTAAGTCATCTTGACTGCCATGAAGATGAAACTGACATCACAGTTATTTGAGTCAGTTTAAAGAGGCCTAGGGTGGTTGAAGGGAAGGATTGGGAGGCCTGGGGTGCTGAAAAGACCTCCCAGCTCTAGCTCCCTAAGATCCCAGTAGCACACAGCTGTCAAGAGCATGAAGCTGTTTGTAGAAAAAAATCCTTTGTAGGGAAGCAGAGATTTTGCTGTATATCAACAGTTTCATCAGGCACAATTTGACTTTCCATGTTTTATTGCACCATCAATTCTATTTAAGCAGTAGATAGTTTGAGTTGATCACATAGCCCACACATGCAGTCATTTCTGGGATTTAGGTTCTTTAACTTGATGGTCATAGTGGAAATTAATTCTTGGTGAAACATAGGTTTTTTTTGTGACTCTTCACAGAGGCCTTCTGTCTAATAGTTGTATTGATTAAAGCACAAATGAAATAAAGCCTTTTCCCCCTATTTTGTTAAAAAGAAAAAAGCCTTAGAAGTGGGGTCCATGATAATGTATCATTGGCAAAAGAGTGGTCTTCTAGAAGGTACGAGAGTTCTATGAGCAATTCAGGAAGTGGCCAGGACGTTAACACTAATTGAAATTATTATAGAGAACACATTTTGTTGTTTCAGCAAGGGCATGCTTCCAGGATAAGAACTATTCCCTTCTCAACTATGGAATTTCTTGGCAGTTTCACTGTATTCTTCCTGTTGTGGTAGAAGATGCACTACCATCACCAGCATTAAAAAATAATACTTGTTCCTTTTGGCAAGCATTGGTGAACAGGGGAGGAGGGATGGGTTGGCACTTAATTGTGCCCCAGGATATGTAATAAACACTGTACAGACAATATTTATTTACACAATCCTGCAATGTCGGCATCATCGTTCCACTGAGCCACCTGGGAAGTCCCAAATGAATCCTAGGACCACTATTAACTAACAAAGATTGAAACCTCTGAGCCTCTATTGTATCTTTGTTAGTTAATAGTGGACCTAGGATTCATTTGGGACTTCCCAGGTAGCTCAGTGGTAGAGAATCCACCCGTCAATACAGGAGACGCAAGAGACACAAGTTCAATCCTTGGGTCAGGAAGATCCCTGAAGTAGGAAATGGCAACCCATTCCAGTATTCTTGCCTGAAAAATTCCATGGACAGAGGAGCCTGGCGGGCTGCAGTTCATGGGATTGCAGAGAGCTGGACACGACTGAAGCAACTAAGGACACACAATCACGTATATGAATCAAGCGCGTATACACACACACACACACACATAAGATTCATTCCGCTAGCCATTGCTTTTAACCACTTCGCCATGTTGCTTTCTGGTTGTTCCCACCACAGAAGGAACTGGCTAAGGAACTTTAAACATCTCTATTTCTCTATCCTCATGTTTAGCACAAGATTAATGGTAATATAAAACTCAGTAAAAATCAGAGATATATCAGATTGCAGTTAAGCTGAGAAACCAATTGGTGAAAATCCAGATAAATTAGAACAATGAATGAAAAGTGTCCTTGATTTCCATTTCCATCTTTTACAAGTGTCCCTTCTGAGGCAACAAAACTCTTTAGTAGCAGAATTTGAATCAGAAGTCCAGACTTCCTGCTCAGTGCCCAACCTATTTTTCTCTACCACACCAGTACATTACAGTATTATTTTTGACCTATCAATCAAATGAAGTCACTGCTAGTTCTTTTTAAGAATAAGATACCAAACGTATTTGATATATCATTTAATCAAAGCGTGTTTGATTTCTAACAATTTTCAAAGAGCACATTTGGTGAATAACCCTGTATGCATTTGCGCTTCACGTGGTTACTACATATATAGAAAGAATTAAGAGATTCTTGCAACTATACTGATAAGAATATTGCTAATAGTCAGGAACAAAATATAAGCATCCATTCATAAATGTAAAACAGTTCAGAAAGACTAGCTCTGGTGTTTACACAGAACAAAGTTACATTCAGTCACCTGTAGTGAAGCTTGGAGTATACAATATGCTCAAGCCAATTAGTATCCATTTCTGGGAACCCTTTTCAAAGAAACAGTTTTCTTTATAGCCAATGGTAGGAGCTCAAAAATACACAAGACCTAGGGATTTTCTCTGAGGCAACCACTATTTTGTAATTTTTTAGGGGGAGTATTACTGTTAGCCAAGGTAAAATCTTGGATGAGAAATCAGTATTTTTCCATATCATTAGAGATTATAGTTGTTTTTAAAGCAGAGGCCACAAGTTCTATTTTTAGGCTGGTTTGACCAGTACTGACTAGAAACCCATGTTGAAATCAGAGGTCTTTATTCCACACAGGGCACTCACTGCTTGGACTGATTGTGATGAAATGTTTTTATGCATAATCCTCTAAGCATATACACTTTTACCTTTGTCTCCATATGCTACATTACACCACCTGTTGTATTTTTTAAAAAGCTCTATGATTTTTAAAACTCTTCATTAAATGAATACCTATAGATTTTCTGCCAATAATTTTCTGTTCTATGTGATTGCTAATTGAATGCAATCTTTAGGATTATTCTATAAAATATTTTAAAGAAACTGCAAGAAATATAGATTGTAAAATAAATAATTGTTTTTTGTCCAAGTAGCCCTCCTTGTTAATTAGTGATAATAATAATACTAATAACCAGTTATTAAAATATACACAGAAAAAATACAGAAATATATGAAGCTTATAACTCATCAAGAGGGTGCAACACCCTTTAAATCAATAAATAAAGTGGTAAATAATGTAAAATGAATATTTTAAAATAAAGAAATAACACATAATGGAGTATTTAGGGATAGTTTTATTACTAGAAGGTTAAATCTCATTTTAATGGATTAGTATTGGTGAGAACAGATTATTTTACAGACAAATGATAATGTTTTTCAAACAGCTATATACCTCTATATTGTTATTATTCCCTATACGCATGGCCTCCCAAAGCTGTTACAAAAAGACTAAAGCACGAGAATGATAGTTCCAATGTCACTATACATTTATGTTAAAAAAATACTAGGCACACTAGACATTTAAACAGATAAAGTATAGCCACAAAATCAATTAGGTTAGCTTTGTGTAATAAGAAATATTTTCTCTTGACTACAATGGATCATAAGCATCTACATGTTTCAAAAATACAAGCTCAGTAATGCCTAGTCTGTACCATAAGTCACCATTTCTAGACAGAGGCTCTTCCTTTGAGATAAAGGAATAGTAAGCAGTTTACACATCAAACGATGCCTTTGGTCCTTGTAATTGACATTAAAACATCATTAGGTTAAAAATAGCAGCATGAAGATGATTTAAAAGAAGAGCAATGATCTGGTTGTTAAATTCTATGTTTCAGATAATTGAATGTTTGCCAGCTTACCTGATGAAACAGAGCCTTATGGATCACAGCATAACAAAGCCCGCATCCAAGATGGTTAGAGTATAAAGAACCTTCCCCTGCAGTTGTTCAGATTTTTGGCCACAGAGGTTTACATATTAACTACAATTTTTTTTTTCCCCTTTGCTTTCTCTCTGAACAAGAAAACAAAGAAACCTTTCCAGAATCCTCTCTGCTTATGCCTCCGCTTCCTGTTCTGAGATTCACTCTATGGTACCCAACATATATCAGAAAACAGCTTTGAGGGGGAAAAAAAAAGAAAAAAAAAAAAAAAAGCTGACAGCACCCGACATGGTACCGCCATCTACTGGTAGACACACAAAATTGAACAAAAGGAAAAACATCCCCATTATTCTTTATCATACACATGAATATGTAAAAAATATTCTTTTGCATACTAAATTGTTGGAGTATGCACAGTTTTCTGATATTGTATACTTTTCTAAATTTTATAAGTTTACAATATTGATTCATCCATAAATGAATACAATTAAAAACCCTCCAGATTTCTGTTTGAAAATCAGGATTATGGACTACATGTAGAGTTTTGCAAAATCTCTCTTGTGGCCTGCTCTAGTCTTCTGAAAACTTTATCTTCCCCCTGGATGAATTCTTTCTGAGTGAATAATCTGTCTCCTTAAAGAACAAGGTAATAGTCATTCACTGGTCATTTTGTGTTGCTTTTTTGTAAAACATTTATAAGTAATAATATCTGGGAAAGTATTTTTAACTTCAGTCATTTTGTGTTGCTTTTTTGTAAAACATTTATAAGTAGTAGTATCTGGGAAAGTATTTTTAACTTCAGTGAGGCTTATGTAATTTAGATCTATGGATTATGTGTTCTATGTATATGACAGGAGGAACAGGTGAAATTCATCTTACATGTGATAATATAATCAAAGTTTATATATTATTATAATCTATGTCTTTAAGATATTGTACTTAAGAAAACATGGCTTATAAGGATATTAAAGCACACAACACATAAGCAAAATGGCTTTATCAGTTTATTAAGAGATTTCTTAACTAATCAAAGTACTGTTCATTTCATTTGACTTTTCAATTTAATTTAGAGAAAGCAACTATAATTTTATTAGTTTTTTGTTAACTAAGTATGTTCATATTAGGGAACACCTTAATATATGTCAGGCTCTATGTTAGCTTTGAAAAGACAAAGATGAAAGCACAGTGCTTGTCATCAAGGAACTTATGTATAATGAAGACAAAAATTTAATGGATGCCAGTTTTTTTTTTTCTATGTGCTCAGGGGTGTTGTTTACTTAGTTTTTTAATTCTAGCCCCCATTTTGCCTAACGGCAGAAAAATAAATCCTGTCAGTTTCAGGTGGACTGAGTCACTTGGGGATTTTTCTAGTGATTTCAGGTTTACACTCTTCTCACGGGGACTGATCTCGGTCTGGAATGTGATCCCCGGCCTCCCACTTCTCTATATGGCCATTTAGTGGGTTGTGCGTGCTGCAGTCCGTGGGGTCACAAAGAGTTGGACACGACTGAGTGACTGGACTGAGAATCTTGTATGATTCTGGGACATCATCAACCCTTCACTCAGACATCTGCCAAAAGGGCCTATATTCCTGTCTGGCCCCAGAAGCTCCATCGATTCAGTTTTGCATGGCAGCATCCCCTCTTCATGACCATTAGTTACCTCAGGTTTTGTCAGCTCTTTCTCTTGGGTAACTTTTGCTCCTGTACTTAGGGGAGGAGGGAAGAAAACAAGTAGCAACTTTCCAGGGTCACTTAGCTGACATAAGTCCCATGTCCCAGGCACCCCACACGGCCATCTCTCTTCTCCTGTTTCCATCCCATGGAGCATAATATGCTCTGTGGGCTTCAGAAAAACGAGGCGCAGTCCGTGCCATATTAGAAGATTTCTATCTTTCTGCCTTTTAGCTACTCCTGGGGAAGGCAAACTGTGTAGGAGGTCCTTATCAGAGACCCCAGTTGGTTTGGGTCTCGCTTCCTCACAGACTTCCTTTCCAGCCCCCACAGAGTGTAGCTTGAATCTCTTCCTTCTGTGCCAGTAGTAAACTGGATCCCCAAGTTTTCCTCGGAAATCTTCCGTCTTACACATAATGTGATACTTTGCTGCTACAGAGCCACAGACATTTATTATCTCGCAATTCTGGAGGTTTGAAGTCCCAAGTCAAGGTGTTAGCGGAATCATGCATCTTCTGAACACTAGCGTCTTCCCCGTGTCTTTCAGCTTTTGGTAGCCCAGATGTTCCTGGTGTGTGACACTCTAACTCTAGCCCTTGTTTCTGTCTTTCCGTAGTGTCCTCCCTGCATCTCTTTCTATCGTCTTCCCTTTGTGCACACCTGTCTCCATGTCCAAACTTCTCCTTTTTATAATGTCACAAGTCATTTTGTATTAGGGTCGACTATAATGATTTCATTTTAATTTGCTTATCTTTGTAAAGACCCTGGGCTTCCTGCTGGCTCGGATGGTAAAAAATCCACCTGCAATGCAGGGGACCTGAGTTCGATCCCTGGGTTGGAAAGATCCCCTGGAGAAGGGAATGGCAACCCACTCCAGTATTCTTGCCTGGAGAATCCCATGAGTGGAGGAGCCTGGTGGACTATAGTCACAAAGAATCAGACACAAATGAATGACTAACACTTTACTTTCTTTTTCATAAAGACCTTATTTCCAAATAAGGGCATATTTTGAGCCCCTTGAGTTTAGGATTTCAACAGTCTTTTTTTTTTTCCCTGAAGATATGTGGATGCAGTTCAACCATACACTTAGATTAACACCTTTTAAATTTAAAACACAAGTATCTGATGATTCTTTTTTCTGTTTCCCATGACAGTTCCACATAGGGAATGATAGTTTTGATATCTGGCCAGAATGTTAGGGAGTGGCTGGGGGAAGAGCCTCAGGTAATAGTGAAGAAATTGAATAATAACAATAACAAAATCCAAAATTTATTTAGTACTTGTGCCAGATGTTCTATGCATTTTGCATATATTCATTTAACCCACCCATAGAAAGTATTACTACATACATTTTACAGATGAAACAGTAAAATGTGGAAGAAAGGAAAAGCATATCAACTAGCACTTTGCATTTCTTACCATACAGGCAATTGTAATCTAGGAAGATAACTGTTATGATACAAATATGTATCAAGTGCTGGAGGAGCAGAAAGGAAATGAACTCCCACTAATTTAGACCGGTGCTACTCACACATTCAGGGAAAATTCAAAACAACTTACCATTTTGTCATATACATTTTCTGTCGTGAGATAGTTCTCTTTTTGAGGAATTTTGTTTTTTTTTCTCTTGTCACAGACAAATTTATCCCTTCACTGCGTGCTAAATCACTCCAGTCATGTCTGAGTCTTTGCAACCCCATGGACTGTAGCCTGCCAGGCTTCTCTGTCCATGGGATTCTCCAGGCCAGAATACTGGAGTGGTTGCCATGCCCTCCTCCAAGGCCTCTTTCCAACCCAGGGATTGAACCCGCATCTGTTATGTCTCCTGCATTGGCAGGCAGGCTCTTTACCACTAGCACCAACTGGTAATGTTTATTAACTGCCAGTCCCTAGCATGCCATACTAATTTCTCCACTAATAATGTCACTTATAAGTATGTTCATTCTGATGTCCACTTTTGGGTATCCATTTGCTCAGGAGAGTTCCTGGTAGTGTTTTCTGGGGAACTGATTTTTATTTTAGCTGATTCTAAGCTGTATGTGTATGTGTGTGTATGTGTTTGCACACACATTAAAGTATAAACCCTATTCTTAGGACATTGAGGGGGAATTATCATGGGATAAAATCTGGAGGAAGAAAAAGAAAAGCAATGAAGTTCTATAACAAATCAACAGACAGAATTATAATTATAGTAAGAATTACATAATTCTTACTGAATATAAATTATATTGAATGACTATAAATTATTCCAGATTTTACAGACAGAATTCATACATTATCACAGAATTATTTGTCATATCTGATTCACATAATCATTGCTAATTTTTTAATTGCTCCACTAGGTCTGTCAATGAGTAACAATTATTTTCCAAACATACAAACCTGATTTAGCATTTTTCTTTTAAATTTTCCTAGATATCTCTCTTTCATTGCCTTCCTCTGCTACCTTACAATTTGGAATGGTGGTTCCCTGGGCCTGGACCAAGCAAAAATCTTGTAAATCTGAAAAATTCAGGACAATACATGGAGCAAAGATAAATATATAAAGAATATATTTAATATCCTAGATGCATCTATGAAGTGAGAGTAGGATACCTTGGGGGAATAATATAATAAAAAGTGCTCATAAATTATATAATAGATAAAGCAGGGGAAATCATTAGACAGTTTGAAAGAAAATAAAGACATATTTTAGAAAGTTGAATACAACATAAAGATATAAAAATGTACTGGAGGAAAAAAGCACCAATTCCTAAAGTAAAATGCCAAATACATACAGTATAAGACAAATTTCAAGGGTTTAACAGCTGTCATTTTTAGGGGAGGAAGGGAATGAAGGATAAATATATGGAAATTTCAGGATTTTCTGTGTATATTTCTTTTCTGTTTGAAGCATGTACAATTATATATGTGTGCATTACCAGTGCAATTAAAAATATATTTAAAATACTAAAAATACACTAAATATGTACCTTCATATTTATTTTTCCCTCAGTTGTTCCCTTTTAGTTGGGTTTAGAATAGATCACTTCTGCTATTCAAAGAGATCCTGGAACATGTCTTCTTTGAAAAGAAGACATGCTCATTCATACTGATGCTCAACTTCCATGCTTCTATCTTTAGTCACTTTAATAGTATAGTTACCTACCACTCTGCTTGCATTTATTTTTATTAATTGCTATTTTGTGAAAACTTAGACTAATTTACATTATATTTGCTGTCCTTTTATGCTTCTGTAGTCCATTTTATATCAGAATCTCCTGGTGGTAAATATTGACCCAAGCTCACTTTGCCCAGTGCTTAATATACAAGGTGTTGTAAATTACAGCATGAAATAATTTTTTTGTTCTAAAAGAAAATAATGAAATATTTTTACATTTATTACATATTTTTTCTTTATAACACCTCTAGAAGTTGAGAAGTGTAGATATTTTTTACAGTTGTTAACTGACAAAAATTGGTACAGAAAAGCAAAAATTACATGGTGGTAAAAGTCAGTCTGAAAAACAGGATAATTGTCAGTTTCAAGTCTATTCAGTAGACAATATGATTTTATCTCATGGGCTCAAATATTCCAGATGTAACAACT